TTAAGAAGCCTTTACTGAGGAGAATTAAACGGTCTACACGAGAGGGAGGAAAAGGAGATCGCGCGGGACTTCGCGTTCACCGCGGCAACAGCCGTGGACCGACAATGTTACCGGCCGCAACGGTGCAGTTAGGATCGTGAATCGAGGAGATAGCAGCGGAATATGTAGGGTGCAGCGCGAGAAGTGGTTCTCCTTGGGCCGTCGTCGGTGCCGCATTCCGGCTCGCATGCATCTCCTCTCCCGGCGGCGGCAACGGACTTTTCTTTTTCTTTCCGCGTCGCAGCTGCAAATGCAACTGCAACGGGTGGGCGACGGAAAACGCCGGTGCTTTATGGATCCGCCGCGGGGGCTTTACCGCTAAGTGCACCGCGCTGCACCCCGAGGTGACGTGACTGCCGGCGAACCGAACGATCGTTCGAATATAAGGCGCGCACTTTCAAATGCCCGGATAGACCTCTATGATTATCGGGACAATCGATCGAGGGAAACTTTACAGCTCTTTTAATTACATTTATGAAGTAGGTATACTGTATAATTATATACTATATAATGCTATACTGTATAATTGTACAATAAATAGGAGACACCGGGCAGAAAAATTATTTAAGGCTTCTGGCCCCTCGCATTGTCTATCTCTTTTTAATGACGTCAGAAGCGAGAAAACGCATGCTAAAAATTCTTGCGAAATACGTTAAAATAAAAACATATATCCATAAAGTAACACTTGCAATCGATTAAACAAATTTGTAAGATATTCCGTGCACTCCCCTTTTGCTCTAACAATCAATAATTTGTCGTAAATTAACGTAACATACAATTCATTCCTATTTTTCTTAATCTATTTCTTCGCCTATTTCTATTCAGATTAATTTATTGTAAATTAATCTGAATAGAAATAGGCGAAGAAATAGATTAAGAAAAATAGGAATGAATTGTATGTTACGTTAATTTACGACAAATTATTGATTGTTAGAGCAAAAGGGGAGTGCACGGAATATCTTACAAATTTGTCGTAAATTAACGTAACATACAATTCATTCCTATTTTTCTTAATCTATTTCTTCGCCTATTTCTATTCAGATTAATTTATTGTAAATTAATCTGAATAGAAATAGGCGAAGAAATAGATTAAGAAAAATAGGAATGAATTGTATGTTACGTTAATTTACGACAAATTTGTAAGATATTCCGTGCACTCCCCTTTTGCTCTAACAATCAATAATTTGTCGTAAATTAACGTAACATACAATTCATTCCTATTTTTCTTAATCTATTTCTTCGCCTATTTCTATTCAGATTAATTTACAATAAATTATTGATTATTAGAGCAAAAGAGGAGTGCACGGAATATCTTATAAATTTGTTTAATCGATTGCAAGTATTACATTATGGATATATATTTTTATTTCAATATATTTCGCAAAAATCTTTATGCATTTTCTCGCTTCTTAAAAAGAGTCATTAAAAAGAGATAGACAATACGAGGGGTCAGGAGCCTCAAGAGATAAAAAGTATTTATCCGATAAGGATACTAATAATATATTTACTTACACTAATGTAAGATATTTTTTAAGTAAGAAAATGTACATCTTTTTGGAACCTTAGTTTTTTATGAAAGCAATTGTTTGTTCTATTTGAACAAAGGAATTTAGATAGACATCCCAGAAAAATCGCGTGATTCAACCCCAACTGTTATTCTTGCAAGGATCTACAGAGAATAGGAGCGAAAGGAGACGAGGAGGCGTGATCTCTCCGAAAACAACGGCTCGGTTCCGTTCTGAATACAACGCGCGAGATTGCGGCACGATCCGATGCATCACGGCTGATACATTGCGCACGAGGCATCCTCCTTTCCATTTGGGAGACGTCGCTGCCCGATGCTACCCGCGCACAAGATCTAACGGTTTCACGGCTCGTGACGCGCGATAAATACGTCTTATGTAAAAATATTGATGCCACATCACATTAACAACAAGTTTGAAATCAAATTTATTTTAGTTAATTATCATTCGTCGAGACATCAATAGCTCTCGAGTGATTAACAAGTGCACTGAGAGAAAAAATATCTAAAAAATAGCCATTATTTATTGTGTGTATGAGATAAATAACTAATAATATATTTACTAATATAAAATATTTTTTAAACAAGAAAATATAAATATATATTTCTCAAAAACTTAAGAAAACCTTGGATTTTTATGGAAACACACACAACTATTTATTCTATTTAGATTAAAAAATTTAGATTTAAGTAAATATTATTAACACAAAAATAAATATTAAACAAAATATTTTTCAGATATTGTTTCTCTTATTGTTGCTCTCAGTGAAAATAATAAATGGCTTTAACAGAATTCTGGTCTCATTTGATGATAACATGACACAATATATTGACAATATATTGATAATATATTGACAATATATTTGTAACAGTATGTTATATAAACTCCCTCACGTATCACATAATAAAACATCCCCTATGTTTCCAGCACATAATATCGCTATTGTTATATTGTAAAAATTAAAGCAATGTTTAAAAAAAAAGATAGAATTATTAGTGCTTTCTCCCCTGATAGTTACGAAGAAATATGTTTGCTCATTTCACGATTTAGTTAGACAGAAAATTTTATATCTCAATATATCAAAATAATCATATTTCAATAATCAAGAGATAAATGTATATCGATAATAAACAATGACATATATATATACATATAAAATATGAAAAATATATGGAAAACATGTGGAAAATGTTTATATTGCCGTACGGATAATGTAACACGCAAATTCTGAAGCTTAAGAGATATGAAAATTAGAAAATGTCGAATTCAAATGGAAATGACAAGTTCATAAAATATACACTAAAAACTGATGTGTTAAATTTAATACGTTTCATGTGTTCCAAATTGTCCACTCTCATTTATGTGTAAATTTAACACAAAACAAATATGTTAAAAAGTAACATGCATAATATGGAAAAAATTAACATAAGAATTTAATACTTGAAAACCGTTAGGAATCACAGGTTAAATTGACATATTTAATATGTCAGACATAGATTATGTCAATTTAACATTTTCATTTCATCAAAATCGTAGATTAATACTTCTCTCAAATGTTAAAGTAACGTTTTATTTTAGTTAATTTAATATTATACATATATCAATTTAATACAAACTGTGATTTCTGACGGTATTCAAATATTAAATTCTTGTGTTAATTTTTTACATATTATGTATGTTACTTTTTACCATATTTGTTTTGTGTTAAATTTACACATAAATGAGTGGATGATTTGGGACACATGAAATATTAAATTTAACACATCAGATTTTACAGTGTACCAATCTCCTAGTTACCAAAGTTGGTCACGGTAATGTCAAGTGGATTTTGTACTAAAATTATCGACTCCAAGCTTCAGAAATATGCTATTACAATATCGTAGTCTTCTCGTCGCGAACCAATGCGATTTACAAATATTCATGCACTACATGATATGACACTCTGATTATGAGTGTTGGAAGAAATCACTCACCACCTCTCGTTCAGATGCAACAATGTCGCCGATGTCCAGCAGCGTCCAACCAGGTCAAACCAGGTCCAACCAGATCCAATCAAGTCCAGGAAGGTCGCTCCGGAATTCGTGTATGCCAAGACGTCCCATGTTTACGATGTTTCACTGCACTCACGACGCGACAAATGTTCACATTTCAACCGTGTTTAACGCGAATAATTAAAGAGTTAATAACTAAAAGAGCGAATAACTGAAGAGTCGACGACATCGATGAGATATATTTTGATTTGTATCGGCATGGAAATTCTACGAATTTATTTATTAATAACGGACGAAATCGGAATTGATGAATTTGATTAATGAAACGAGGCGCGATAAATTCCTGTAATACGATTCTTTCGAAGTACGATAAACTCCAGCGATATCTAGTGAGGCAGACACGACTTGATAGACTTGAGATTCGCAAATTGCAGATACGAAATCGCGAATTGATAACCAAATTAATGAATCAATATTAGTAAACCGTTCACGACCGAAATAAGCGAGTGATACGATCTTCTCCGACACAATAACTTTATAATTCTTCAACACAATTCTCCGCAATTCTTTTGCAAATACTTCTCCGCAATCCTTTTACGAAGATAACTCCGCAATCCTTTTGCGAAGACAACTCCGCAATACTTTTGCGAAGACAACTCCACAATTCTTTTTGCAGAAACAACTCCGCAATTCTTTTGCGAAGACAACTCCGCAATATTTGGCGTTACGTTTGTAACGCTTTTCCGAATTTAATTCGACGATAATTAATCTCTGAGAAACGTAATCGCGACGCAAATATAAGAATAAAATCAATAAATCGAAAACTAAAAATCGCGACGGTTGCACATTTTTTCAACGAGTGGAATATAAATACGATTACTGTTTTTATCTAAAGTTTCTCTCAACCAAAGCTTATCTGACGAACGTAGACTTGATATGTAAACAAACAAAAAATTTCTGTTTCACATTCTCGGCAAGGTTTTCACTAAAAACTCGTATTCGATATTATCATATCTCGTGCGAAATAATCTATACATATATAAGATTAAAAACAAAAGATTGTGACGATCGCGAAGCCAAATCAACAAGAACGGGATAATTGCTGTACAACTGTTAAGTTGAATCGCTTTCATTAATTTTCCGCTTTTCGCGAATCTTTGACAAATTTAACGAATTTGATTCAATCAGTACCGGTCTATAAATGTAATCGTGACGCGATGCACGAACCAAAAATTGAGAAAACTTAATAACGATCGCGAAAGCTTACTCGACGCGGACGAATAATCGCGAATTTCAGACTTGGTGGCGCAATTTTGAGATACGCATTACATATCGAAATAATTAAGGAATCCATACTGAATGTATTGTTTCGTCAAATAAGTTTGTATCTTGAATCACGCGTGAAACATAACAATTGAAATATCACATTTAATATGTGGCTATTAAATATTACAATTAGATATGTTTTTAGAAAAACTGAATCTTAATGTTAAAAAGTTAAGAACTTTCTTAATGTTAGGAAAGAAGAGGAATGTATTCAATACATCAAATATTTAATGGATAGTATAAATATTCGAAAAAGATTCCTTGCTTGTTTCGAGTGATATATTTCATACAAGGGCATGCAAAAATCTACTGTCAGTAAATCGCATTGATTCGAACGAGTTTTATAAAAGTCACACCAAATTTGTTCCCATCACCTATCAATTTTTAATCCATGTTTCTCACTCACCAAAAAAACGAAACTCAGGGTCAGCCACGTTTCGCCTTCAGATCTGGAACAAAAAAGGACAGTTTTGCCGATTAGATTTATGATTTTGGCTCAACGAACAGTTGTGCGTGAACACGAGTTAGTTTTTTATGATAGTAATTTATCGACTTTGTCTGACGATTATTTATTAATTGACTATCGATCACGATAAACGAAGGTGTGTGTAAAATAAGTCTGTGAACATACCTTCGAGCTAACCCTGCTCGGCCCGAACCGGATCCTCCGGTACGGCATCCGCATTCACCGGAACTCTAGCTGGCTCTGCAGTACAATCTCAGAAATTCTGTGACAGATCTGAAAAAAGAAGTAATTTTTCCAATTAGTTATAGCGATAGAATAATAATTTTTCCAATTAGTTATAGCGTCAGAGAGAGATAGAAATTGCTCAATTCTGATGAATCAAAACTATGGAGATAATCAATGAGAAAATATCAAGAATACAAGATGCAATCTCTTAGAGACATGAGATACTTTCCATTTAGATAAGAAATAGTCAAATTAAATTTAGTGTTTAACTAGTGCGAAAAGTCCTAGATACTACGTATTGCTCATTATAATATCAGTATGACGATCATTGTGTGCGCAAACTATTATAATTAATCTCACATGCACATCGATTTAGTAAAATAAGAAACAATACATTATACATAGAAAAAGAATTAACTGCAAGAGTTAAATTATAGCGCTGTGCAATTAAAATAAAGACAACTAACTTCCGAATAAAAACCCCGTCATAACTCCTGAAGCTAAATTTAGTAGCTATTTGAACTTCGACGCGACAATAAAACTGCTAGGAGGAAATTTTCCATTACTATCATACTGCTTCTCTTCTAAAAGTTGCGCCTTATATCCGTCAAAAACACAAAACTAACGATTCGCGTCGCAAATCCAGACAAATTTCTCATCAGTTTTTAACAGAGATTAACAATCAATGTCCACTTTCGCGAAAACACAAAAGTCGATATTTTTCATTACTTACAAGATCACGCTGTTTGATTTATACTCTACAGAAGAACGATTCACGTTCGTCGGAAGCGCGATAATTTTCCCTTTACAATGATTCTTGTTTCAGGTCGCTACGACGTCTACAAGCGGAATTATTAACGATTTTGTAAATGCGTGTGTGAACGGCCAGCGTTATCGCTGGGCAGCGAGCTATAGGCGCGTCACACGCGACGCATGGAATGCGTGGAATGCGGAACGCGACTGACTTCCGAGTCACCTCGCGCGACGTCGCGTAGCGGTACGCCCCCCCCCCCCCCCCCCCCCCCCCCCCCCCCCCCCCCCCCCCCCCCCCCCCCCCCCCCCCCCCGCCCCCCCCCCCCCCCCCCCCCCCCCCCCCCCCCCCCCCCCCCCCCCCCCCCCCCCCCCCCCCCCCCCCCCCCCCCCCCCCCCCCCCCCCCCCCCC